TGTTCTCTACTTTCATCGTCACCAGACGTCTCGTCGCAGCGACCTTTCACGACCTTCTCCAGGGCATGACTGTATGTACGGTCGTGCCCGTTCATCGCCACCAGCCAACGTCCTAATTCTAAGTCACACATCCATCGCTTCCTGGTTTGACGTCCATGGCAGCCCTTCCCGCCCGGCGTTCTTTGCCAACGATCAGTCCACACCAAGCTCAGGTCGCCGCCAGCTCTCCCTGACAACAGAGTTATATCTGTTTGGTAGTTCTTGTAATGAACGTCATATTTTCGTACAAGGCTTACTGCTGTCTTGTTATTTCATTACTGGAAATTGCGAGTTGTTTCTTTTATTGTTGTTGTTCGTCTGACTCAAAAGCTTGCCTACGCAGTCGTTCTTGCTCTCCAATTCACTCCCATCAATTCATAGAAACGACGGTACATACTGTCGTTGCTATTCGCCCCGCTCTTCATGCCTGTGTCTCGCTCACTGTTCAAACAGTGCTTCTGTGAGGAATGCATCGAAACCGGTGATCATGCTGAGGATGGCACCCCTAAGGGGGTACTCATTGCAGAACGTCTTATGGCTGCACATTTACAATGCACCAAACGTACCCAAGCAGAACGTGCTGCTGCTGGCTCTCCCCACACAAACACCATCACAGATTTGTTAGTCTCACAGCTGGACACACTTGCTCTTATCGACAACAAACCGCCTGTTTCTCACCCCAACCCCACTCCACCATTATCTATTATGGCTCTCGTGGATGATCTTGAGCAACTCACTTTGCTAGATCATTTTGTTGCCCGTGAACCCAGAGTCGCTATTTCTGGCGACGTCTCCCAAAAGAACATACATCGGCCAACTGTGAAGGCCTTGAGGGTCCTCGATAACATAGAGTTCCGCGTTCAGCAGTGCTTTCGGTTGTTACTTGCGGGTAATTCCAATGATGTTGGTCGCGAGCTACTATTGCTTCGCACAGCTGTGGAGTCCGTCAAACGAAAAGCAGACCTTGTGGTCACACGGAAGAGGGCAATTATGTTGGAGATAGATGGCTTAGAAGCTCAGTTCAACAGTCAAAAGCCTCCCGAAATGGACTTACGTGCAGCAGTCGAATTTGATACCAGTCAGAGTCGATTATCTTCATCGTGATCGTGTCCTGAATAGTCAATAGATGTTCACCATGATTTTCCGCTGGATCAGTGTGATGAAATCGCACAGGTCGCCTTATTCATCACTGTGGCATGTAAAGTCATCATGGGGGTCAGCAAGCGAGCCTGTGATTTCCTCTTGGGACTTATTTCAATCATGTTATTCCTCGCTTTCCGGAGATCGGATGGTAGCCTCAGCTCTTCCCATCAAAATGTGCTCAAGCAAATTCCAAAGAGTTTCAACACCACACTCTCAAGATTCCATCTCACTGAGAAAACTGTCGTCTATGCAGTCTGCCCCAGTTGTCACTGCACTTACAGCCCACATCATGCAGACGGCTCAACTATTCCTACATATCCTGAACGTTGCACACACCACCCCACGCCAGAGGCCGAATGTGGCGAGTCATTGCTCAGCCCTGGCCCTGATGGAGTAGTGCGACCGAAGAAGACATTCATTTACCACGATTTTAAAGACTACCTCGCCGGTCTCCTCTCCCGTGCAGATATTGAGGGGGCGATGGATCAAGCCTGCGACGATTTGCAAGACTCGATCAATTCCCCCCATCCGCCTTTGATGAAACACGCATTCGAGGCTCAGTTTCTCCGTCAATTTTGTGGCCCAGACCCAGGTTCACTTTTTATTGATAGAGGAGATGAAGGGCGCTATGCTTTCGCCCTTTTCGTGGACTTCTTCAATCCGGAGGGCATGAATTTGCGTGGTGCCAACAAATCCTCTGGCATCATCTCTATGGCATGCTTGAATCTACCATTGGATATCAGGTATAAGCCCGAAAACATGTATCTTGCAGGAATCATCCCAGGTCCGAAACAGCCGTCCCTCGAGCATCTCAATCACTACATCCGGCCACTTATTGATGACATGGTAGACTCATGGGAGCGCGGCATCAATTTTTCCAAGACTGCTTGTTTTCCCACTGGCCGGCTCGCTCGCAGCGCTATTGTTTTGGCAGTTTGTGATCTTCCTGCCGCTCGTCATCTTGCTTCTTTAGCTGGAACCAGTAGCCATTTTTATTGTAGCGCGTGCAATTGCTACCATAAGACCACGTACGGTAGAGTGGACTTCGAAAGCTGGAAACCTCGTGATAAAGATGAACTCCGGAAGTTCGCTGAGCGGTGGAGGGACGCTGCGACAACCTCCGAACGAGAGAAACTATTCAAAGCTCACAGTGTGCGCTATTCAGAGATGTGGCGTTTGCCATACTGGGATCCCTCACGCCAGCTTGTTGTCGACCCGATGCATTGTATATTGGAAGGTTTAGTCCAGCATCACTCTCGTACCCTTCTCGGTTTGACTACAGCAACCACTTCATCTTCATTGACTTTACCCCCTCCGGCCTTTTCATGCGACTTAGGCGATATGCCTCTGGGGATGACTTCGAAGGAAATGACTCAGGTCGCTGCTATATGCACCCTTCTTGTTTCCCAGTTGTCGTCCGATGACGAAAATCTGGATAACCTAAAAAAATCGCTGTTTCGCAAGAATACGGGACCTCTCAAGTTTGTTTGCGAGGCCTTGCGATGCGCTCCCCAGAAATCTAGTAGATTGTTCAAAATCGACTACGTCAAAGCTCTCGTGGAATGGGTAAGTTCTTAATATGTCTACTTTGTTGCGACTTTTTTATGTTTGTTCTCAGCACTGTGGAAAACCTTTTGCTGCTCCTGAGAAGGAGCTTCAGCTTGGTTCTCTAGATGCCCTTCATCGTGTCCGAGATGTCATCCAACAAATAACCATTCCATCTTGGTTTACTTCAGTCCCAAGCGATTTCGGAAGCGCATCTGCTGGGACGATGAAAGCAGACGAATGGCGCTCTCTAATCACCGTCTACATTCCTATTGCCCTCGTGAGCTTGTGGGGGGCCAGTACCTCGCATCCTTCCGATGAAGTCGGCACTCACCTTAGAGCTGTTCTCGACCATACTATGGAACTTGTTTGCGTGGTGTATCTCATGTGCGCCCGAACAACGACTGTAGAGAGAGCACACGCGTATTGCTCTCACATTGCGCTTTATGTTGGAAATTTGAAGAAGATATACCCTAACATCGCTCTGCGTCCAAATCACCACGCTGCCTTCCACATATACGACTTTCTACTCCTATTTGGCCCGGCCCACTCTTGGTGGTGCTTTCCTTTCAAACGTTTGATTGGAATACTTCAGCGTCTTCCAGTAAATCATAAGACTGGTGAGTTTTTACGGAACACCAGTGTAATAGCGGGACTGACTTTTCAAGGCGAGTCGGAAACTACCATGTTATACTTGTTCATCAAAACTTCAAAACTTCACCGTTGGCTCAGTCGACCTGACTGTTCGCCGGCTATTCAAGAGTGCAAATTTCTGTTTGACAGCACGTATGCTCCCAAGAGCGCTGGAACTCTTGGTGAAGAACTTGCTGAAGATCCTTTGGACGACAGTTTACAGGCTCCTTCCTCCGCTGTAGCTGTGGCTGTTCCTGAAGCCTTGTTTGCGCTTATCAAACGACGCACAGCAATATTACACGCACGACTAAAATTCAACGGGATTGTCTATAGCAGAGCCTCTACTCACGTCGGGAATAGTCAAGTTTTTTATTATTCTCAGGGTGACCGCTTATCGTCTCCTGTCCCCGGCAGTATCCAACATATCTATGCTACACCCACGGGTGAACTGGTGTTTGCTGTCCACAAGCTCCTCCCGCGTCACAATCAGTCCATTGATCCATTTGCTATGTATCCTCATTTTCCCGCCAAAATGTACTCGTCAAGCTCAAGTAGTCATTTGGAAAATGTCAAGGTATCCTGGGTTGTTAGTCACTTTGCTCGATGGGCAGTTTCGAGTGATACTGTAGTCATACTATCTCTATCTCGCGTAAGTACAATTCACCTCGAGAAATCACCGGTGTCTAACTACTGTCAAACAGGATTGATTTTCAATTTCACTCTACTACATAGTTTCGCGTACATTTACAATATATAAGCTGTCCACCCCGTCGTTTGAATAAGAGTGCGTTAATGCGTGTTTCTAACCGAAAGGCATCGCTTGTGTCTATAACTTATCATCTAGTCCCCTAATATTTAGCATCTCAAACTCAAGTGGGCGATGACGTTGTAAGTGGGCGATGATTCAGCCGTGAGTGGGCGATCGTCGGGCGATCGGTTTTATCTAGAGATAAAACTTGATGATTTATTTTCACATTTTATTGTCAGGGGGGTATTTTGAATTTTAACGCCCGTCTAAACGACGGTCTAAACTTCATACATGAGCAGATGTTCAGTCACGTGCTAAAATTGAAGTTTTTTCGAGTCTTAAATGTGAAGTTTCATTTCGAAGTTTATGCCAGCATTAAAGATATATTTATATTTCTTATTGTCATTGACATTCAGACAGTAAGAAAATGTTCGCTGATACTTTATATTTCTCTTGTCGTGCAAGACCTCTTTAACATTTGAAATTTTACATCCGCTAAGACGACAACCTAAATATTAAGTATTATCTTGACATTTCGCACGACATTCAAACCAGTCTTAAATATTCGGATCCCCGATGTGTTATCTCAACTCAGTTTGATCTTGGCAAGCGGCTATTATTACATTCGCTCAGGCTGGGCTTGTAGGGACTTGTTTGCAAGTTACCATTATCATGATATGGTATTTGCAGGGGTATTCAATGATCGGATTCCCTACCATTGCCACGTCACGATAATGACTTGTCTCACTATGATCCGATTTTAATTCAGCAGTGCAACAACAGTGTGCGGAACCTACACCGTTGAGTGGTGTTTCGGGGTGACATATAACGACTCAAGGTGACCTGCGGACGCGGATATAAAGCACATAACAAGTGACTTCAACAACTCTAAATGTCTCTTCCACCATTCTCAACAGAATTTGATATCATTTTTGCTGGAGGTTAGTAGCATCATTTGTAGTCGCCCATCTCATAACATAGTGTTTTGTGTGCAGGTGGTACTACAGCTTGTGTTGCCGCAGGTCGCCTAGCTGCATGTGATCCCTCGCTCAAGATCTTAATCCTAGAAGCGGGTGAACACACCCTCGATAAAGTTGCCTATGTTCAACCTTGGCAATATTTCATCCATCTGGCGCCGACGAGTACCTCAGTCACATTTAACATTGGAAATCCCTCCCCGCGTCTCAACGGCCGTGCACCGGTCGTTCCAAGCGGTCATTGTGTTGGTGGAGGTTCAAGTGTGAACTGTCCGTACCATTCTTGTGGCAACGAACAGAATTCTGATGTTTACACAGTTGCGGCATACACTCGTGCGCCCCGCCTCAGATTTCGATGATTGGGGAGTCGATGGTTGGGAATCTGAGAATTTAATCCCCCTCATGAAGAAGGTCCTCGAATGCGTTATCCGTATATGTGTCAAGCTGATGCCGTTACTCCATAGATTGAGACATACGAGGTGCAGCCCGATCGTCCGACTCATGGGTACGATGGACCTATCAAGGTGTCCTCTGGTGGGTGTAAAATGGGTCTCTGCGACGAGTTCATCCAAGTTGGCACGACATATCACAAGAGGCCATATTCCGACGACACCAACGATTTAGAAACATGCAATACATATAGTGTGCGCTAATGATATTATTTACTGTCTTTAACCACTAACGGGAGTGCATCTCAGCCATGGCGGAAGTGAGCGTGCCCTCATGGTCTATCACGAATTGGTCTCATATATGAACAGGTACATTGACTCAACAACCGGAAGGCGTTCGGACGCAGCCCACCACTATGTCTACAACCAAGCTCACAACCCCAATTTACAACTCTGGGCCGGCAAGCGAGTGAAGCGCGTCATCTTTGAGTGAGTGGTCTATCTGGGATCGCAACCGTAATAAAAGTTGATGCCATTTCATGAAAGGGACAAGCGTGCCGTAGGTGTTGAGTTCACCAGCGACCCAGTGTCTTCCCCAGACGCGGACCAGTCGTCGAGCACCGTGAGAGCAACAAAACTTGTTGTTGTCTCTGCTGGGACGTTCGGTTCCCCGGGCGTTCTCGAGAGGTCTGGCATCGGTGCCGAGGCGGTCCTCAAGCGGTGCGGAATCGAGAAATTAGTGAATTTGCCTGGTGTTGGGGAAAATTACCAAGGTACGCTGTCCTCTCTTTATCACATGACCTTGGCTTAGGGTTATCAGATCACAATGCCGCCTTTGTTCCATACTATGCTGCTGACGGTGTAGTTACTATGGACGCCCTCTGGCGTGGGGAGGAAAGCGCTGTACGGGGTAAGCGTGTACTTGCTACGTTCCCAGCATATCTCAATTACCCAAATGTAGAAAGCCTTGCGCAATGGAACAGCAATGGCAAGTCACTGATTGCACAAAAGTTGGTACATGTTAACGCTACTGATAACGTACTGACTAATATTCCAGTGGCGGCGATGCAAAAATAAAGTGGCGTCCTGATGACGAGGAGCTGAAAACCATGGGTTCGGTATTTCAATCCCGATGGAAGGAGTTCTTCCAGGACCGCCCTGATAAGGCTGTCGCAATATTCGCCATCTTTGCAGGGTGTGTGCATGTCGCATTACTGTGTTGCCGTGTGAATGCTCACGATACCCAGATACTTGGGGCCACTTTTGGGTGTCCTTCCCCCTGGCAATTACATGAATGCCAGCTATTTTACGGTACTACCTTTCATCCACTCCTGGTCATTGTTCTGAAAATTTTAAAAGCTTTACCCCGCCTCTGCTGGAAGTGTTCATTTTAAATTAGAAGAGAACGGCAAGGATGGAATGGACTTTACAACAGGCTACCTAGACGAGTGAGTTGGCACTTTTCATTTCAGACACTTGTGTGACTAGACATTTGCTTAGTCCATCAGATATCGCGCCTCTTAATTTTGCTTACAAAAAGATGCGCGAGATCTATCGGCGCATGCCTTCCTACCGAGGTGAAATTCCTGCTGGCCATCCTAATTTCCCAGAGGGAAGCGCTGCACTCTGCGGGAAAGTCTCCGGGCCAGTGGATATGAATGCGCCTGACATCATCTACACTGCCAAAGATGACGAGGCGATTGATAAATTCCACCGTGACAATGGTAAGTCCTGATTTGCCATCCCCGTCTTCATGGTAAAATACTCAATCGAACTTCAGTGCAAACGACTTGGCACTCCGTGAGTGTAACCGACATTTCGATGATTTACATGATGTATATAATCCTTGTTTTGTAGCTTGGGACTTGCGCCATGAAGCCAGAGGCAGATGGAGGAGTCGTCGACGCTCGGCTAAACGTATACGGCGTGTCGAACCTCAAGGTTGCAGATATGTCTATCGTGCCGTTGAATGTTGGCACTGTGGGTACCGAACAGTGAATGATTGACGTGCAATGCTAACCGTCTCTCCAGAACACATATTCAACGGCGCTCCTCATTGGAGAGAAGGCTGCGATGATAATTGCTCAAGACTTGGGCATTGATTGCAAACCATGAACGTGGCGCATCTTTGATATTCAACTTTGCATGAGTGGTCATAAGCATGTGCTATTTCATGATGATGACATGCAAGAATACGCGCTATAGAATCAGAATAGTTAGTCCACTGTATAGTTTTATAGAGGGGACCTGTTGGGTTACTGACGGCGCGGCTGGAATACCGCTTCCCAATGCAATCGAGAACCTTGGACATTTGAGGCTTGAGTAATTACCTTGCTCCCCGATAATGAAGCCGCATCAGCATGTGATCACGTGAAGAGGCGGCAGACACAATTGAACAAGTTCCCCGACGTGCCTGTCATTCGACTCGTAGACTCCACATCCCAAGGCAAGCAAGGTTGGTGCCAACAAAGTCGGCGCTTCCCGAGTAAACAAAGGCAACCAAGAAGAGTAAGAACGCTGACGGTAAGTCGAAATGTCTCGACCGATCGGTATGATGCGGCTGGTGTGGTGGGGACACGAATACTGCGGTACCTGTCGGGACAACCAGCGTAAGTGTGGCAGTCAGAAGCACTAACTGTCGAGGAAGGATAGGGGAGCAAGTGCTGGAGTTCGACTTGAACTCGAAGGAACAAAATTTCGACACATATGTTGAAGGATGTAAGCATATAATTGATTATGACATCGGCACACGTCGTGCCTTGCTGGCCCGGTCGTCTGCTTAGCAGTGTCTGTCTGAGCTACATTCGTTGTGTGGGCAGCGCTCGTAGAGGTAGGCAAGGATGACAACTCCGGGCCCATAGCATGTCGATGTCAGATAGCACCGACTGCTCGATAGGGCAACTTCATGCGTGAAAAGAAGTTACACCTGCTGCAACTGACGAGCTCAAGACCATGGATGAAAGCGTCATTCGGTTCGCATCTGCCCAATGCCTGCGTCCATTTAGTAGATGTGTGTCAAGTGTATGATTGTTATGAATGCAACACATCTGTCACACTGTACATGGCCTACTCAGACTGGCACCTTGTATAGGTGCATCTTCTCTTCTTCCTCACCAGCCCTTGAAATTCCTGTGCAGCACACTTTGCAAATGCTATCCGGGGTTTCGCGTTCATCACAATGGAATTGTACAACAATAGTCTGTTGCAAAACGGGAGCGGTGACCTGCGATCGTCGTCAGTGGTCATCGGAACATTGAAAGGCCTCGGAAATTTGTCGGCTGAAAGTTGTTGTCACCAGAAGTTGTCGAAGCATATCGCAAGTCGGAGTCCTCTCTTTTGCTACCGTCTGATTCTCTCCGGTGTAGACAGACCCCTACAAGGAAGACAAATTGCTATCTCTGTGATAAGCTTTCACATCGGTTTAGCATTTTGCAGAAAAGGCAAACACGTAAATCTGCATCTTACGAGACCGTGTTTCAGCAACAATGATGGCACGCACGAGAGCACGGAGTTATGTAAGTAGTCAAGATTATCGTCCCTTAACCCCAAAAGGCAGTGACAATGAAAGCTCACGCTTCATAACGCGGACTCAGGCAAGCCAACGAGCTTACAAGTTCCTCTCAATTAATAATCTGCGAAACACTGGAGTGTCTGATGACAACAAGGAGACTCTCAGATGTCGTCAAGTTACCGACCGTGAGCGCGGTTGTTTCGGGTTGTCTGAGATATTTTGCCAAGCCAACAAGCACGTTCAGCATACACCTACAGATCCCTGGCAGTGAAAACATAGGGGAGACTCAGCGGGAGCAGCGATGATCACCAACATTCTGTAAGCATACTGCTTACCACATCAGTCACGTGGTTGTTCGGATCGTTTATATCACTCCCCCGAACAGACTCGGGTCTCTTACCACGTGACTGCCCACTATTTGCGCGACAACGCATCCATCTGCGTGAGGTATCACACAACATCATACTCAACGAAATTTTGGGTACGGAGAAGGGCATAAAGGCACTAGCGAAGTTTATTCAAGAATCCAGCGCATTCAAGAAGGTCGCACTGGAACGAGAAGGAGACTGGGAAGAAAGGAGAGGGACAGAAGCCTGAGTAAGGGCAAAGAAGGAAGTGACGAGGGAAGGAGGAGACGAGGAGAGATCAGAAGGAGGAGGAAGGAGAGAAAGTGTATCATATTATACTAAGCCTGGACACCAAACGAGCCCACACGCACACCAAAACTCATCAAACGCGGACCGCTTGGCTATTCGTACTATACCTACATCCCTCACCCTGTTACAACACTCCCCAGCACAGCCCTAACAGGGCACCGCGTCTTAACAGCTCACTTTGTTTGTTGCGGTATATAAATATAGAATTTCTCTCTCTCTCTCTCGGGTCTCTTACCTACTATCATCTGCTCATTGGTATCACGCTCTAAAACGTCCTGTTACCTTTGGCCCGGTTCGTTTAAGTGTTATCCCGGCGGGCTTATCACCCGTCAAGTCCTGAGCAGGTATCACCACGGGCTACGCGAAATAGGGTGGGTCGTGACTGGTGAATCGCAAGCCACGTCACTACGTATGCTCCATCTGACTCTGACCACACTATTTTGAAGAATGGGGGTTGAACATTGACGTGGTGTTGCGTTAATCGGACGATAGCGCAGCGTCACGATGAAGTGTGGCGCAAGACTCTGTAAGTCACAAGGAGGAGACTGACACTTGCTGTTATGTTGTAAATCCAAAGACAGGTCATGAGTAACGGAGCCGTTTGTACTCTTTCCCAGCTAAACGGAGAGTCGGGCACCCGTGCCGTTCTGTACGCTACGTGTCCAATCATGCAGTATGATATTCACCCCGTGTTTATCATCTTCAGTGGCCCGTCATTAGACGTGGCCTAGCGGACACAGTCATGACCATTAAGGCCCTGCGCTGATCGTGTGATTCGTGACGTGTTGGCCAATGGGCTGCTAGTATAAATGTGAGCGCACTGAGCGGTTTCTTGAAAGCACTCCTCCATACCAATGTCTCATCAAATATTGTCGGACTTCGATATCATTTTTGCCGGAGGTGAGCAAAACATATTGTAGCGGTTTATCCTCGTCACTCTGTCTATAGGTGGTACTACAGCTTGTGTTGTCGCAGGCCGCTTAGCTTCATATGACCCCTCACTCAGGATCTTGATTCTGGAGGCGGGTCAGCACACCCTCAATAAAGATGCTCATGTCCAACCCTGGCAAATTCCCACCCACCAGGCACCGACGAGCACCTCAGTAACATTCAACATAGGAAATCCCACTCCCCATCTCAACGATCGTGCACCGGTCGTTCTGAGCGGTCGTTGCGTTGGTGGGGGCTCATGCGTGAATTGTACGTAGCATGCTTTCAGCAACGAACAAGTCACTGACGATTAGATAGTCATGGTATACACTCGGGCACCTGCTTCAGATTTCGATGACTGGGGAGTAGATGGTTGGGAATCTAAGAATTTAATTCCCCTCATGAAGAAGGTCCTCGATTGAATTTTCGATATATTTGTCAAGCTGACAACCAACACTGTATAGCTGGAGACATACGAGGTGCAGCCCGATCGCCCAACTCATGGGTACGATGGACCTATCAAGGTGTCCACCGGTGGGTGTAAATTGAGTCTCTGCGACGAGTTCATCCAAGTTGGCACGACCTATCACAAGAGGCAGTATGCCGACGATACCAACGATTTAGAAACTTGCAATACATACAGTGTGAGTTACTGATGTTGCTTCCCTATCTGCGGCCACTAACCAGATCCGTCTCAGCCATGGTTGAAGTGAGCTGGTACTCGTAATCTATTGTGCATTGTTGGCTCATGTATAAAAGGTACATTGACGGGACAACCGGAAGGCGTTCGGACGCGGCCCACAACTATCTCTACAACCAAGCTCACAACCTGAATATACAAGTATGGGACGGCAAGCGGGTGAAACGCGTCATCGTCGAGTGAGTGGTGCATCTAGGACCACATCCGCAGCAAATTGTTAACAGCCCTTCTGAATGAAAGGAACAAGCGTGCTGTAGGTGTCGAGTTCACCAGCGATCCAATATCTTTCCCGGGCACGGATCAGTCGCCGAGCACTGTGAGAGCATCGAAGCTTGTTGTTGTCTCTGCCGGGGCGTTCGGTTCCCCGGGAATTCTCGAGAGGTCTGGGATTGGTGCTGAGGCAGTCCTCAAGCGGTGCGGTATCGAGCAACTCGTGAATTTACCTGGGGTCGGAGAGAATTATCAAGGTGCGCTTTTATTCATTTATTTCATGCGTGTGGCTTAGGCTGGTCAGACCACAATCTCCTTTACGTCCCATACTTGGCTGCTGACGAGGTTGTTACCATGGACGCCCTCTGGCGTGGGGAGGAGAGCATTTTACGGGGTAAGCATGTTGTCGCCATGATTTCAGCACCTTTCAACTACCCAAATGTAGAAAGCCTTGCGCAATGGTATAGCAATGGCAAGTCATTGATCGCACAAAAGTTGGTGCACTTTATCGCCGCCGGTAATGATTATGTGCTGATTTGTATCTTCAGTGGCCTCGATTCAAAAATCAAGTGGCGTCCTGATGACGAGGAATTAAAAGTCATGGGCTCAGCCTTTCAGCCACGATGGAAGGAGTTCTTCCGGGACCGCCCAGACAAGGCTGTTGCAATATTCGCCGCTGGTGCGGGGTGCGTGCATATTACTTTTTTTTTACTTTGATGAGTGTGCATGCTCATGATAGCCAGATATGGTGCGCCAATCTCGAAGTCACTCCGGAATATCCTCCCTCCTCGCAATTACATGACTGCTTCTTATTATACAGTACTGCTTTCCATCTGCCCTGTGATTTGTTTACTGAATTTATTCAATAGCTTTACCCCGTGTCTGTTGGAAGCGTTCATATCAACACGACAGAGAACGGTGGGGAACGAATGGACTTTACTACAGGCTTCTTGGACGAGTGAGTCGACGCGTTTCGTTTCAGGCCACTTGTGTGACTACGATACTCCGTACAGTCCATCCGATATTGTACCTCTCAACTTCGCGTACAAAAAGCTGCGCGAAATTTTCCGGCGCATGCCTTCCTACCGAGGTGAAGTCTCTGCTGGCCATCCCATTTTCCCAGAAGGAAGTGCTGCATTCTGCGGAGAAGCGTCTGGGCCAGTGGAGTTGAATGCGCCTGACATTGTCTACACTGCTGAAGACGACGAGGCTATCGCTAAATTCCACCGTGATCACAGTGAGTCCTGACTTGCCATTGCCACTCACGGTAAATAAATCAATTTTCAGTGCAAACGACTTGGCACTCGGTGTGTGCAGCTGAACCTTTCATTCTTTTAAATGAGGTGCCTGATCTTTGTATGTGTAGCTTGGAACTTGCGCTATGAAGCCAGAGGCAGACCAAGGAGTCGTCGACGCTCGGCTAAACGTGTACGGCGTGTCAAACCTGAAGGTTGCAGATATGTCTATCACACCCTTGAATGTTGGCACGGTTGGTACTGAACAAGGGATTATTGACGTGCGGGCTAACCATCTCCACAGAACACGTATTCGACGGCGCTTCTCATTGGAGAGAGGGCTGCGATGATCATTGCTGAAGACTTAGGTATTGATTGCATTTGATATGTAGAGTGATTGCGAGTATGTATTTGGCGTGCACTTTTATAATGCTAGAGCGGTGCAGACCAAGAGCCTGCCTGCCTCTGGGCAGGCCTAGCAATGATGATAAGTTACTCTACGACACCGCCCAAAGGCCCTATGCTGCTGACTAAGCTAAGAAAACCATGGCAAACACCTGCCTCTCCGCCCCCCTCGCCGGGGGGTGCCCCACTCCAATGCAATCGGCACCGGGCTCTTAGGACTGCATCAGGGAAATGATGTACTCTGGACAGAGCTGGACACGAGGGAAATAGCTTGGTCCCCCAGGAGAGCAATATCAAGGAAGCAGTTACAAGGGTGATGATATGATATGTAGTAAAATTTCCGCCGCGTTCCAGTACTGGATAAATACACATGCAAGAATCTTTATGTATTGAGAAATCAGGTCGGGGTAAAACGATCGACCATTTTTCAAACTCCGACCGACCGTTGTGTGTGCACGTGACGTTGCTACTGCCTTTACCGCCAGGTTTTTGCCAAAGAAAGAAGGCGACGGGCATCTCTTTCTCCGGAAGCTGACCCCTTGGAAAGCTTCACCGAGCCGGACCCCATCCTGCTCGGCGGGCTGCGGCTGACACTGTCAAAGACTCGAAAAACCCAGCCAGCCATACTACAGCTACTGCATACTACATGATACGTAGTGATCAAACCATGGGGGGTCCTGGCATTACCGCAACAGCAAGTCCGTGGGGCTACCTGTACATAAGTGTCTTGGCGACCTTTGAAGACAATCCTTTCTTCATCCCGCATTGAATCTCGAGTTTCTTTTGCAGTGCCTTCTCCTCCGGATCTGTATGTAACCTGAACCGTCGCATGAACGCGCTGATTTGCCCTCTCTGCTTCCATCCCGCCAACACTGGCATAACCGCGGCATTCTCCCGGATTAGGTTACGCACGGCTTCCCTCGATGCCCTGTACTTCGCATCCGCCTCCGTTAGAGTCGTTACGCATGCATGCCCCTGCACGACAATTTGGTGTTTCTCTAACTCTGCATAGTTTCGCGTCCACCACGCCTCCATGTCGTCCTCGCCCTCGAGGCACGTCACGACCATGACTATGGGGACTCGCCGCTGATATAGGACTTCAAGGAACAACTGGTAATTGCTCTGCAGCGCGCTACTCACGCGACCTTTTCGAATGCAGTATACCAACAAACTGGTACCCCCGCATGAATCAAGTGCGCGGAGAAGGCGGCTGGCGTTCTTGATGGACTCGTGATACTCGCGTGCCTCGAGTTCTGGGTTCTCGATGCCCATCGTGTCGAAGAGATTATATTGCTCCCCATCACTAAAGAGCTTGGGCAACACGTGTTTGGTCCATGTGAGGGTGCAGCGCTCGAGGTTGGAGCCAGTTTTAGCGATGTGTTTGTCTGCGATGAGGTTTACGAGGGAACTTTTTCCGGCGCCCATTGCGCCGAACACAACGATATTTTTAGTGCGGCTGGCACTTTGCCCCGCCATCGTGATGCGTATGGTGGGTAGATGCCGAGTTTTGGCGAGTGGTTGAGAGTGGTCGAGGTGAACCGAATTATTCCCTGATGGTCAGAATTGACGAGACTTTTTCTAGCTAGGATGTGTCAGGGCTGATGTCCTGCATCCTTATATGATGCATACGCTTTTCGCCACGACCTTTCCGCACCCTGACTTGATACTTTGCCACGCGACAACCGCGCTGCCATGGATAGTGGCGTAACCGGAACACGTGTTGGGTTTATTGTGGCTCAGGATATGCATCAAGCACACTACCGTGCAAGCTCGCCAGAAGCTTGAGGCGGTGATGTGACGTGTACCATCCTCCGTACTCGTTCAGAGATATATCTTGGCAGCATGCGTAGGGACTACTGTAGGAGAGTGCGTTCCACGTTCAAGCTCCCATGTGTCTGACGACGTAGTGTGGGGGGATGGCGGGATCGAATAGATGTTTTCTAGTCTCGCCCCGCCGTCGTGTGTTTTTATTTACATGATGATAACCGATCCTAATATTACAACCCCCGCGTCTAGCTACCACAACGAGTAAACATGGCGAAAGTCCCATTATTTGTTAATTCTTTGAATCACGTCTTTTGCTAGGCTCTCCTCCATCCCGCAGCGCTTCGTGAGGACCCCGAGAAAGTCTGATTTGCTTGGACGCCCCGTTAAGAGGTCTTTCAACTTTCCAATGAAACTGCTAAGCCACCCTTCCCCTCCATCCCAGTTCTCCACCTCATGCACATGGCGTCTGATCAAGTCGCCCACTACTTCTCTGGACGTGCTGTACTTCTTCTTGTATCTCGGGTCCAGATTTTCGGCCGCAGTGATACAAGCATAGTCAATACACTTGACCGCATGGCGCTCGAACGACCCCTTGTTTCGCGTGTACCATTCATCCATGGGATCCTCCCTCTCCAGGTGAGTAACGACGAGCGCAACTGGTATCTTCTCTTCGAAGAAAAATTCGTAGAATAGCCTGTAGTTGGTGGCAAACGATGGTTGTATCCTGCCCGCCTTCATGCAGTACAGCAGCAGATGGGGTCCTCCTTTCTCCTTCAGCTCCTTCATCAACTTGTGAGCATTGGTAACGGCGTCAAGAAATCCGATAGGGTCCATGCGGTCGCCGTCGACCCCGGCAGTATCATAGATGCGATATGGCACGTTGCCGATGATAACTTCATATGATTTATAACGCAATGTACAATGCTTGGCGTCTGGAGAGGTCTGAGCGACCTTCCTCCCTGCGAGGAGGTTGATGATGGAGCTTTTCCCGACGCCACTCTCTCCGAAAAGGACAATATTTTTGGTAGCCATCGATGAATCTAGCACGGCGGATTCTCAGTACTCGGTTTCAAGCTGGCAGGGGAACAAAGGTGAGCTCACGATTGCAGCAAGTTGTTGCTTCTGGCCGGGTGGTCGACCTTCAATGAGAGCGAGAAGTCAAGGGCTTCTGATACTTATGCTGCAGACGCGAAACAATGATGCCCAACACAGGTCACGACCTACGAAGCAAACACGAGGCCGAACACGGATTACCCTTTCCGTTGAGCCCAGAATCCCAACTTTCGCAGGTGCAACGTGTGAGCAACGTTGTGCTGTGATCGTTACGGAATGTAATCGATCATCTTCCTAGATGGGTCAGAATCCTGGACGGACGCCGCCAGTGGTGGTAGTGCTCGCTGTTCCTAGCTCCCTGCGGTAGCAGCGTTTCAACGCCGTCGACTGTGGATAGGCCACTAACAACACGTGCTCACCTTGCGTCCGCCTCCTGCTTCAGAATTTATCTGGACGGCTGGCTGAACCCTTGATCTGGCTGCACCAAAAATAAATTCAAACGGTTTGCTACAGCTTGCTGCTTGATATTTCTGGAGCAATAGCCTATGGCCAGATGACATCCTTATTTTGCCAACATAATGGTCAACCTCCACTCTGGTTGCCGGGTAGAATTATAACATTCAATCTGAGTTCAACTTTTGAATCCGTGGATCTCTTATAAGGCTCGAATACAGCTGATCACGTCGCCGATGTGTCCATATAAGCCGTTCATGTAAGCAGACCCCTTACCGAGTTGGGAAATTTCGAAAGACGACTGAATCTATGATAGCATCGACAGCACAATAGGTCTCAAACCAAGTAAGTACCACGTGCTAAATCGTAGAAGAGAGCGTCCGCAGATCACACACATTAGCTAGTACGTCCTCCTATGGTCAAAATGTAAGTACTCTGCCCGTGAAGGATGTCATACAATAAACGGTAATTGTCTCGGAGAGGTTCTGCCCTCTTGGACGCGGTAGAGCAACAGATGAACGCCGCCAGGATTATCCAGGGCCCTGATCAACTCGAGCCTACCTGCAAGGGCTGTTAGATACTCCTTGAACTTTTTCTCCGAATTCTCGATGCTCATGGTATCGAACAACTTATAGTAGGATCCGTCAAGCGCTTTCCAGGGGAAGGGGATTCTGTGCTTCATCTCGGCGGCTACCTTTCCAAGAGGTTCACCAGTATAACGTTGACGACAGACATGTCCAAGCCTTATCTACGAGAGCCAAAGTTTAGCTTATATTGAACATTGTCATATTATTGTCTGCCAACCGGAGTGGGGATGACCAGTATGTATTGGCAAAATAAGGATGTTACCTATCTATAGGTTATAGCAATCATGAGTGAGCAGGTGGTAGCACCCTGATCGCGTTGAAATACATTGCCATCTTGGAAACGTCCTGAAGTAGCAAACCGTTTGAATTTCAATTTTATCCTGTCAAATAAAAGGTTTAGCCAGGCTCGCACATAACTTCCGAAGCAGGAGGCAGACGCAAGGTTAGCATGCACTGTTACCTATCCACAGTTGATGGCATTGAAAACGCTGTTATCGCGCGGACTCTTCCCGAGCAGGAGGCGGTCGCAATGTTAGCATGTGCTGTTGGTGACCTATCCACAGTTGACGACGCGGAAAATGCTGACTACGTCTGGGTGCTAATAGCAAGCAACACGATTGCTGGGTATGCAATACTTTGCGTGGGCAATATGACTCTCAGGAGGCCAGTATCGAAATATCCCAGCCAATTGTTTGCATCAGAGTGAAGTCCTTTGGGGTCTTAGACCCTATGTCGGACATGACCCCATGACGCAGCACAATGTTGGTCGTGTGTTGCACCTGCAAAAGTTGGGTTCTGAGCTCAACGAAGAGGATAATCCACGTTGGGACTCATGTTCGTTTCGCAGGTCGCGACCCTCGTGAGGGGAGTCTGCAGCGGCATAAATATCAGAAACCGTGGACTCCTCACTCTCATCAAAGGCCACCCACCTGGTCAGAAGTAACATCTTGTTGAAGTCGTGAGCTCATTTTTGTTCCTCTGCTAGCTTGAAACCGAGTACTGAGAGTCCGCTGTGCTAGATCCATCGCCGATGGCTATTAAAAATATTGTCCTTTTTGGAGAGAGTGGCGTCGGGAAAAGCTCCATCATCAACCTCCTCGCAGGGAAGAAGGTCGCTAAGACCTCTCTAGACGACAAACATTGTACATTGCGTTATGAAGCATATGATGTTACCATCAATGATGTGCCATATCGTATCTATGATACTGCCGGGGTCGACGGCGACTGCAGGGACCCTAGCGGATTTATTGACGCTGTCACCGATGCTCACGAGTTAATGAAGGAGCTCAATAGGAAAGGAGGGCCTCATCTTCTGCTGTACTGCATGAAGGCGGGCAGGATACAACCATCGTTTGCCACCAACTACAGGTTATTCTATGAATTTCTCTTCAAGGAGAAGATACCAGTCGCGCTCGTCGTCACTCACCTGGAGAGGGAGGATCCCATGGATGATTGGTACACGCGAAACAAGGGATCGTTCGACCGCATCGTCGACCGCGATGCGGTCAAGTATGTTGATTATGTTTGTATCACTGCGGCTGACAATCTCCGGGACCCGAGATACAGGAGGAAGTACGATACCTCCAGAGGAGAGGTGGGCGACTTGATCAGACGCCATATAGATGAGGTGATGAGCTGGAATATTGGAGAGGAAAGGTGGTTTGGCAAGTTCATCAAAAAGTTGAAAGACCTCTTAACGGGACGTCCAAGCAAATCAGACTTTTGGGTTCTCACGAAGCGCTGCGGAATGGAGAAGAGCCTAGCACATGCCGTGATTCAAAGACTTAATAGATCTACTAGTAGATGACCTAATCTCCCTATACTAAACAGACCCCAGACCCAAGAAGATAGTCCTTCTTTACTATGTAGTATACTATGGTCGGCTTCCTACTAGGCATGCACCTAGCACTGGCCCCAAGCCAACGGTGGAGCAAGTTGAAGCGGTGACCGTTGAATGTTCAAACGTTCAAGGCCTGGCACTAGCTATGTATTTGCACTCGACATCGTCTTCAAAGGTACAGGTGTTACCATCCGGATCATTAGTCTTGTCATAACCTCCGGTCTCCTGGTCGGTTCCTTAATCGTCGCACCGTGCATCACAACGGGCCAGAGCAACACAAGCGATTCTAACTTTGTTCACGACTCATCATGTGCAGCTGGGTACTCCTTCTCTCGTGTGCCTTGATATGGTAGGGAGCTGGCGCTCTCCAATCACATTAGCTCTACTTCCATATCCCTCTGTCGATCCTCGTCAACACAAAGACCTCTTTGCTGGGCCTACCGAGGTAATCGATGTGCTGGACGCAAACAATCTGTTGTCGAAAACAGTGAAGTCGAATTCAGTGCACGACCCTCTTTTCCCTTCCACAACCCCCACAGAAAATGGCTCCTTCTCTCACGGCAATCAACCCCCCGCGGTCCACTTCAAAGTCCCCCGCGGAGGGCGCATAGCGCTCGTCGGCGAATCTGGTGCAAGCGAAGGCACAACCATCCGTCTCCTTTACTGGTTCTAGGACCCACAATCCAGCAAAGGTCGTATCTTAATCGACGAGCAAGACATCTGAACAGTGACGCTCGAGAGTCAAGCCTCCGTCGCGCAATCAGTGTAGTCCCCAAGACCCCATGCTCTTCAACGCAAGCATCGGCTACAATATCGCTTACGACCAACCCTCTATCAACCCACCCCCAGAAAACACCATCACCACCTGCGCCCAAGCTGCCCAGATGCATGAGCGAATCCCGAGGGGTACGAGATAGAAGTTGGAGAGAGGGGAGTAAGGTTGAGTGGGGTGAGAAGCAGAGGGTTGCGATTGCGGGGATGATGGTGAAGAATTCGAGGGTTATGCTTTTGGATCAGGTTATCAGTGCGCTGGATAGTGCTGCAGATCGGAGTTTTTTGGAAGGTGCGCCTGGCAGGTTTGTTGGTTGTTTGAGTCGGTTGAGTATGATTAAGGTGACTATCTGCGAGTCTCTTTGGGTTGTGTTTTTGGTGAACACAGTGCTGATTGGTATCGCAAAGGATCATGACAGTCGGATTGAGGAACGGGGCTTGCATAATACTCAACAGCCTCTTCCCAAAGGCAAGATATGACAACGATGCGCCCATCGCAGTCATCCCCGAATCCGAAACGCGGGGCATGGCAGTAGTGGAAGACCGTACAGCCGTCGACTCTCTCCCTTGGAACTCAAAGGAGACTCACCCGTAGCATTCCCCGTCTCTGACGATGCTCCTATTTAGCTTCGGATCTCGCAGCGCTAATTTTCTGCGATTGGATTGCTCTTTTTCGATATGTGTGATGCTGTATTGATATCACTTGGTCGAATGTCTGCTTGGCAGTCAACATAGTGCTGGTAGTACTGTTTCTCACAAAGCGTTGGATTTCAAGTTAGTACATAGCGAGATACATCATGTGCAACGTATGTACTATCAATAAGCAATCGACAAGGATCAAATCCATAAGCGATTCTGAGAATGAGGGGAAGTGAAAAAATCTGCTTCTAGCGCTTAATCATATCAGCCAACCCTTTTGCGACCTCCGAGGATAACCCGCAACGCTGCGTGAGATTAGGGACAAGATCCCTCCTTCTCATACGCGAAGTACCTGAAAGCAACTCTTTCAGCTTACGCATCAACGACACGAACAGGTTGTCCCCTCCTTGCCATACCCGCCCCTGAACGTCGACAGTAAACTTCCTAACGATGTTACGGATCGTGACGCGCGATTCTTCATAAAGCTGCTGGTGTCTGCCATCCAATCCATTAGCGGCGGTGACGCACGCATGACCAGCGACGTAGATTTTATATCGTTCGAAGTTGTGGTGCTCTCTGTCCCACCAGTCCTCCATCCTCTGCTCTCTTTCAAGGTTCGTGATCGCAAGAACTGTGGGAACCTTCTCCTCGCAGAGGAATTCATGAAAGAGTCGGTAATTGCTCTGGAGTGTAGCAGAGATTCTGCCGGCGCGCATACAGAACAGAAGCAGATCAATTCCGCCTTCTGCATCCAACGCCTTGATGAGCCTATAGACACTTTGGACACACTCGAGGTATTGTTCCTTTCCAAGCTGCGGTTCCTCGAGTCCCATGGTATCGAAGACCTTATAAACCTGGCCACCGAAGTTGATGGTATAGCCTTGCCACTGTAACGTACATCGTTGCATGCTAAGAGATGTGTGGGCTACCTCCTCTCCCGCCATGAGGTTGACGAGTGAGCTTTTGCCTGCTCCCGTCTCCCCAAAGAGTACGATATTTTTAATCGTCCTAATTATCAGTGTTTAGCAAAATACTTCGTAAAGCACATCTGACGGCTAAGTACGTGCCTTGCGGGAGGAATTCGTACGCGACACTTCTCGATAAGGTCGCAGACAGCATTGTATGACTGTTTGCGGCGCTGCTTGAGCCGAATTGCGTCATCACCGTTGATAGTCATCGCAGTAATGCATGCGTGGCCAGCAAAGGTCATCCCGAGTTTCGAAATGGATTTCTCGTTATCCCTCCACCACACTTCCATTTCTGGTTCTCGGTCTTCCAGACCTGTAATGACAAGGACGATAGGAACTCTCCCCTTCAATTTGGAGTGCAACAACTTGTAGTCGCGGTGGAGTGCCTTGCGCCCTTTCGTGCCCTGTACGCAGTACATGAGGAGATGAATGCCATCTGTCTTCATAAGCCCCTCAAGGAGGTTCTCCAAATCTTTCCGAGCTTTCTTGTCGGGGACCACTCCGTATGAGCCCTCACCAAGACCTGCAATATAGTTCAGTAATACCCACCAAGAATGGTGAACTACACTGACCAGCCGTGTCGAAAAGCTTTACTTCCAAGTCCTTGTTCTGAATCTTGATGACATAGTTCTGGGTGCCAGTTGTACATCCCCTGGCGTCGGGGGAAGTCTGCGCTAGGTTCGTCCCAGCAATCAAGTTGACTAAGGAACTTTTGCCAGCGCCAGCTTCTCCACAAATGACAATATTACATGTGTCTGTGCGATGTGAAGCATCTTCGCCTCTACCATAACAGTCGGTGGCTGCCGCACTCTGGTCTGAGGTGCAGTACTGACTTCAAGTTAACTTTATGCTGAGGAAGAGCCAGACATACATACAGATTCGATGGGTGATGCCCTCTCATCAGTCGGCAACATTGCAAAGATCGAACACAACGAGAAGCGCGCCTTGACCTACGTTTGCAATGTTTTTGAGTATCGCCAGTTTCGCCTTGAATCATTCTGACCGTCCAGGCGCCAGATTCAAATATCGATCCTGCAGCATGGATTCAGCGTGTGCGCATGCAGAAAAGGCATTGCAATCAATTTGCAATGCAATGGGTGACGTACTATTTTTGTTCTTGAGCACAGTTGCTATGAATTAGGATTTGGGGCCCTGATTACAAGCCTGGTTGGAAAACACATACATGGATTGACTCATCACAGGAAGCAGGCTCCTTCCCACCGCTGCTTCGAGTGTGGAGGGGCGGAGCATGTAGACTTACATATTAGCAACTTCAAGTTGAAAATAGTTGTGTATTATTATGTAAGTAGAGCTTTTTATGTAAACCGCTGTATGATGCATCTGATTCTGAGAGCGTGAGGGATACCTGGAATACCCATCAGTGGAAAGGAACCTGCACGGTCTGCACAGGAAGACCAGGAAGGCCGATACATCATAACCTCACTCAGACAGGCCAACGTGCGTTTCCACCTTCATGTGCCAGCGTGTACATGCACAGCCAGGCGTTAAATTTAAAGCTTTAAAGATCAGTCCCGTATGTTCCAGAATTCATGCCAGAAAGGCATTACCATGTGTGGCGTTACGCGTTCGTTCGTTCGAATTCTTGATGGAACAACGACCAGGGTTTGGGACCCCGATTCCGACCTCCAAGCCTGAATGGAAATTATATTAGCATGGAGTACTAGCATGGAGAGCCGCATGATTGACACTGAGTCTCCCCTATCAACTACTGCCCCAAACCCTAATTCATAATACTATCCCACCAATTGCAGTGCTTTTCTGGCATGCATAATCCATGCCGTGGGATCGATCTTTGAATCTGGCACCTGGACGCGTCACTGGTGACACTCAAAAACACTGCAAATGCAAGTCAAGATGCGCTTTTCGTTGGTTTCAATCTTTGCAATGTCGTTGACTGATGAGAGGGCATCACCCACTGAATCCGTATGTGGTGTCTAGCACTTCCTCAGCATAAAGTTAACTTGAACTTGTCAGTACCACATTGCCTTCAATCAGAGTGCAGGCAGCGCTGACCATCATTGTCTCGAAGATGCTTCACGTTGCATAGATACATGCAATATTGTCGTTTTTGGAGAAATAGGCGCTGGTAAAAGTTCCTTGGTCAACTTGATTGCTGGGACGAAACTGGCGCAGACCTCCTCTGATGCTGGCGGATGTACAACTGACATCCGCGACCATGTCATCAAGATTCAGAACAGGAATTTGGAGGTAAAACTATTCGACACGGTCGGTCAGTGTAATTCGCCACTCTTGGTGGGCGTTACTGATATGCTGCAGGTCTTGGTGAGGGCTCACACGGAGTGGTCCCCGATAAGAAAGCTCGTAACTATTTGGAGGACCTCCTAAGGAGGCTTATGAAGACAGATGGCATTCATCTCCTCATGTATTGTGTGCAGGGTGGCACAATAGAGCGCAAGGCGTTCCACCGAAATTACCAGTTATTGCCCTCCAACGTGAAGGGGAAAGTTCCTATTATCATTGTCGTTACTGGTCTGGAGGACCGAGAACCAGAAATGGAAGAGTGGTGGAGGGATAACGAGAAATCCATCTCAGACCTTGGGATGATCTTTGATGGCCACGCATGCATTACCGCGATAACCATCGATAACGATGACGCAGATCGGCTCAAGCGCCGCTGCGAACAGTCATATGATGCCATCTTCGACCTTATCGAGAAGTGTCGCGCACGAATTCCTCCCGCAAGGCACGTACTTAGCTGTCAGATGCACCTTGCGCCGTAATTCGCTAAACATTGATAATTAGGAAGACTAAAAACATCGTACTCTTTGGGGAGGCGGGAGCAGGCAAAAGCTCAATCGTCAACCTCATGGCGGGACGGGAGGTAGCACCCATATCTCCTGGCATGCAACGATGCACGCTGCACTGGCAAGACTATTCCATCGACTTTGATGGGGAGTCTTATCAAGTGTTCGATACCATTGGACTTGAGGAATCGGGACTTGAAATGAATGAATACCTCGATGCAGTCCGAAATGCATATAGGCTCATCAAGGCGTTGAATGAAGGAGGAGGCGTTCATCTGCTTCTGTTCTGCATTCGCGCCGGCAGACTGACTGCTGCGCTTCAGCACAATTACCAATTCTTTCACGAATTCCTCTGTGAGAAGAAGGTCCCCACTGTTCTTGCGATCACGAATCTTGAAAGAGAGAAGAACATGGAGGACTGGTGGGAGCGAGAACATCAAATCTTCGAACGATGCCAGATCCACGTCACTGGTCATGCGTGCATCACCGCCGCTAATGGATTGGATGGCAGACACCAGCAGCTTTACGAAGAATCGCGCGTCACGATCCGCGATCTTGTCAAGAAGAACATTGCTAACGGGCAGAACCAACCATGGACAGGAGGGGACACTCTGTTCGTGTCGTTGGTGCGCAAGCTGAAGAAGCTGATTGTAAAGAAATCGCGTATGAGAAGGATGAACCTGGCCGGTCACCTCAGGAAGCATTGCGGTATGTCTCGAGAAGCCGCAAAAGAGTTGGCTAACATGGTCCAGCAAGACGTGATAAAAGCAGACGTAGCAAAAGCAGACGTGACAAAGGTAGAATAAAAGTAAATACATGACTTGCGCCTGCTGCTTCTAGATTGTCCTCGGCGGATACATTGCATTTATGACTAGACGTTTCTTATTCCCGATTCCTTGTCGCTGTAGAAGGAAGTCCACGAATAAATAATTTTAGCCTGGACGACAACTGAACGACAATGATTCCATTGTGGAGGTGGAGAAACGCACCCATCATTGCAACGGACATCAACCATTACATTCGTTCATGCTCATATCCCAAGATTATCCTTCCTGGCTCCCATTGAAACGACCCTTCCTTAGGATATCAATAGGTTCCCCCAAGCTACCTTGAAATTGACCGTGAACTACGGCAGATGTGCAACAAGTGTTCCGCATTCACTGTGAGGGATAGGTCCAGGAAAAACACGAATCTGATTGGACAATCCGCAGGCATAAGACGAATATAGGAATGGACCGGAAGCAAAGCGGACTCACCTGGTATGCCAAACTCCCCTTGCGCAGCTCCATCTCTCGCTCTCGCAGTTGCAATATTCTCTTGCGAGTATCACGTTAGCTCATCAGACCTCGACAAGTACTGGAAGATATATTGTGCTCTCCTTCTGGTGCAGGATGAGAGTATCCGGAGCACGGTGATTGGAAATTAACAGCAATGTAGGCTCTGAAGCAGAGAATGCATTAGTGCCAGAAGATGTGTTGACGGTTGAAGGACGCCGTCTCTATCTTGAATATGTTCACCATGTTAATATGAGTGAATCGGGTGAAGTGGATCGAACCGGCCGATATAGGAGGAAACGATGTATGGCTGCATAGCCTGCTAATGGACGATTAATTATAGCGCCGCCTCATGGAATCCATGCCTTCGAGACATATAAAAACATGACCGCCTCGTCAACTTGCCACACAGCAAAAAACCAGCAGACAACCTGGTGAGCACTAGTCGACTGTTCGCCCCAATAATTGATGACGAGCTGCGTCAGAGCCAGGTTAATCATCATATCGAGCTATGGCTTCTGAATCTTCGCCGAAACCAACCCCAGCGCAATCAAAAAGACCAACTTTGAAGCATAAATTTGAAGGTCATACGAACAACATCCGTAGTTTCGTCTTCTTGCATGACTGCGTCCACATCGTGAGTGGTTCGATGGACGGCACGATGCGCAAGTGGGACTGCGACACGGGACTTCTTGCTGGAGAGCCCTGGGAAGGCAAGGGCGGAAGCATAACCGCACTGGGGTTGTCACCGGACGGCAAGACGATTGCGTGTGGGAGGGAGGATGGAAGTGTTCAGCGGTGGGACACAGATGGAAAGATGATGGAAGGCGTTTGGACGGGTCACAGCAAGGAGGTGTGGTCACTTTCATGGTCTCCCAGCAACGACCATATTGCCAGCGGATCCTATGATGGATCCATTCTTATTCGAAAAGCAGAAAACGGACAAGTCGAGGCGGGCCCGATCGAGACAAAGCAAAAGTGGGTTGTTGTTGCATATTCACCTTCGGGTGATAGATTCGCATCAGGCGGGGACAACAAAACAATTTGCATCTGGGATAGCAAGACAGGCAAGCTCGTCGTCGGCCCCATCGAAGACCTGGTGTACGAAGTGACTTCATTGGTGTGGTCGTCAGACAGCACGAAAATCTATTCCGCCTCCGACAAATTCGCATGTGTTTTCGATAATACAGGCAGGCTACTCCATCGCTATGAGCACAACGACGTCTTGCATTCTGTCGCACTTTCAGCTAAAAACAATGTCCTGGTGTGCGTGGGCGATCATGGGATTGTACAGTTATGGAATACCGAGTCCCGTCAGCCACTCGACGGCCAGCCATTTCCGAGTCGCCAGGATTGCGGATGGCTCAACTGTGTGTCGTTCTCTCGAGATGGAAGATACCTCGCATATGGCGGAGATGACAGAAAACTCACTGTGTGGATGGCCGGAGACATGGCTCCTCAGCTTGCAGCAGAGTCATTGTCTTGCCTCGAGGTCTGTCCTCTCACGCTTCACTTTTGTTTTGTTTTGCTGACAGGACCGTTCCAGGTTGACGCTACAAAGTCATCGGTGGTTGATGGCATCATTGAGGAGGGGCACGATCATGATTTCAGGGTAAATCATGTTTTGTCGTGCAGAGGGCAGTGATACTAATGATATGTCCTCGAAGTCTTCCCAGCGATCTCTTCCTTTGGCATTATCTTGTCTCCTTCAGCCCCACCTGTTTCGCCGCTTCTTGGGGTTGAAGGCTCTCATCCCCTCTCGACAACACCGACCAGGACATGAGTCCATTTCACAAGAGCGGCACAATCAAGGTTCATCTACGCGTCGTGATCACTCAGGGTCGCCTATTCGGCCCGCAATCACCGCACCCGACCAATCAACGCCAGAGGGGAAGGATCGAGCAGGAGGAGTAGAGGAAATAGGTGATGATGTACGTCGTTTCTCTGCTCTCGCACATGTGACCTCAATAGGATGGTCTGTCAGTGTTTCGCCAATGCTCAGCTCGGCATTAGCAAACTAGAAAAGGGCAAAGGCAAGCAACGAGAAGGATCTCTTCCCGACGCTCAGAACCCACTGCCCAATGATTCCGCCTCCCCCGAGCTCAACAGCAAAGAGAATGACGACCTCTCTCTCGGGAAGGATCCCACTTCCGCAAAAATGGCTCCAGCGGAGAATTGCGACACATTGCCTAAGGTGGTAGGGGTAACCGCTGCACGCAGGTTCCAGGTACGGTTCAGTCAATCTTGTACACAAATCTGTGCTCGCTAAACAGAAGACAAAGTCATCGGCAACAACGAGTGACGCTCTTCCCGCTGCAACACACGCAAGCAGCTCGTCACAGGCGAGTCTATCGTCGCAAGCGGTACAGTTCAGTACGTCATCGTATGTGATGTCCGGGAAGGCAGAATCGTCATTTCAAGATGCTCGATCCTCTGCAACAAAAAACGTTGTCATTTTTGGTCAGAGTGGCGTCGGGAAAAGCTCCATCATCAACCTCCTAGCAGGGAAGAAGGTCGCTAAAACCTCCGCAGACCGCAAGCGCTGCACATTGGAATATGAAGGATACGACGTTACCATCGAGAACGAGCCGTATCGCATCTATGATACTGCCGGGGTCGACAGCGACCTCATGGACCCTAGCGGATTTCTTGACGCTGTCACCAATGCTCACAAGTTGATGAGGGAGCTGAAGGAAAAAGGAGGACCCCATCTGCTGCTGTACTGCATGAAGGCGGGCAGGATACAAGGAGCGTTTGCCACCAACTACAGGTTATTCTATGAATTTCTCTTCGAGAAGAAGGTACCAGTCGCACTTGTCATTACTCACCTGGAGAGGGAGGATCCCATGGATCAATGGTACACGCGAAACAAGACATTGCTTGATCACCATGCAGTCAAGTGGATCGATCAAGCTTGTATCACTGCGGACGCAAATCTGGACGCAAAATATGTGCAGAAGTACACCGCGTCCAGAGAAGAAGTGGGCGACTTGATCAAACGCAATGTCGACAAGGTGGAGAACTGGAACGAGGGGGATGGGTTGCTTGCGAGGGTCATTGGAAAGTCGAAAGACCTCTCAACGGGGCGTCCAAGCAAGTCAGACGTTCTCGGCGTCCTCACGAAGCGCTGCGGGATGGAAGAGAGTCTAGCAAAAGCCGTGATTCAAAGACTTAGCAGCTGACATAACTTTTGCCTAGTCTCCCTAGACTCCAGACCGTAGACGAATATTAATGAGGATAGCCGTTCCTTCTTTACTAGGCAGTCAGGCTATATGTATAGCTATACTATGGGACACAGAAGAGTACCGACCTGCGCGTAATAAGTGATGAACTACGAAATCGCTGGTGTTGCTCTGGCCCCTCGTGACGCGCAACGCGACGATTAAACCAGGAGACTGGAGGTTATAATAAGCGTTTGTATGAGATTTAGAAGTTTAAGGGAAACCATTGGAGTGTGGTGAGCGTTTGCATTTGCAATGTGATCATTATAAGGAATTCACACTCACGAAGAGTCTCCTCTCCAAAGTCTCATACTTTCTAATCGCCTCGGTATACTTCTGCGCCTCGTACTCCTCCCCACTGAAATACTTGAATGTCTCGTAATCGAGCAAACAGTCCGTGTGGATATCACGAGTGATCTGCGCGCATTCAATCAAGATCAACGAAAATTGACAAGCACGATGCGGGGCAGGGAGCACTCACAATGTCCTGTTCGTTCATCTGTCTCCATATCCACGTCCGATACCTCGTCAGCACCACACTCGTCCAGATATACGTAACCACCACAACCCCAAATATGACACTCAACGCCAGCTCAAACCCAACCACAAACACGACGAGGGCACCGATCCGCAAGTGCAGGTGGCACCGTGAACTCAATAAATTCACTGACGCGGCTCGAGCGAGCGAGAATGCGGAGCAACTCGCCGGTCCCGCGTTCGGTTTGCAAGGATGTGGTTGAAGGAGAGCATGGACATGCTTCGGTCGGAGTATTGCGTGAGTGGGACCCAGAGGGCGTCACAGATAGCTGCGATGAAGGGAAGGTGTATGTAGGATATGAGGTAAGGCCATGGGCTAGAACCGAATGCAGGGGAGGGAACGGTGCCAGAGGTATCAAAGGTACTGATGAGTGACAGAGGGAGAGAAAGCAAAGCATTGACAACGCGTCCGAAAACGAGGAGCACAAAAATCAACTAGGAAGTGAAGGTAAGGAGTTGCATTGTACGTGCAGCAATGAATGGCAACTTCAGGTACCGGGACGGCCAATTAGATGGGCGGTGAGGTGGGATATGCGGGTGAAGAGTTCGCACCAGGAGGGGTCACAGCAACTTCACGCGGGGTTATCTGGAGAAGAGTTAGATCGCGTCGGCCATTTCATTGAGCAGGAAGATATACGACGCCGGGGAAGAGTGCGATTGAGGCAGAAATGCTCGGAAGATGCGTGCGAGGGGTGGGTTCGGGATGCATGGCTGGAGAGGTGTTGAACAAGTCGTTGCAGTTGTATCATCTGAATCAATGTAATTATGTGATTACATATCCATGATCATCCATCCATGCCTCAAGGCGATACCATCTTCGCTTCTCGGATACTCATGGTTTGCAGCATGGCTTGCAGACCGTCTTATAAACTCCACTGAGCACCTAGCATCAACCTCTATTTCGTTTCCTAAGGCCTGAAACCTACCTCCTGCAAAGTATCCCACCCCTCCCATCTAACCCATGGCAGAACCCGCACCTGAAGAGTGAGTCTTCTCTCATACATGTACAATAATCAAACCTTGACCCTTCATCCTTTGTAACGATAATCCTAGTGATTTTACATCTCAAATTTCTGGGACATTGGACCTCGGAGATTCATGTGATGCTGGTGCCTTTGGCGTGGTTTATCGGCGTACCATCCAGTCCAGCAAAGGCACAATGGAGGTTTGTCTGACCAACTTGCTCAAGCTCGTCCCATCTAATATCCTTCAGGTCGCAGTGAAGGTGTTCAAGATCAATCCTGGAAGAGAAACGGAGAGAATAAACAAAGTCAGTCTTCTGTCTGGAGTGCGCTGATCAAACCGGATCTGACTCATCATGGTCTATCTAGGGAATATCTCGAGAACTCAAGGTGTGGCTTCGACTGAAACACCCGACTATCGTCCCGCTACTTGGCACCGCAAACGTCGACTCTCCATTTCCGGCTCTCGTTTCACAATGGATGATATCTGGGACATTATATGTCTACCTCAAGGAAACTACAACCCTTACCGCTTCCGCTAAAGTTCAATTGGCGAGTCCCTTGCTCATACCAATGGCATGCGACAAGTATTCATTTATATTCATGCAACTAGGCCAATGGTGTCGCTGAAGGCCTGAAATATCGTTCGTTGATTCCCATCATGTCGTTATTTTTGTTCTTGATGCCTATGCAGTTCACTCGCAGAATGTCGTTCATGGAGACCTTCATCCTGTATGTCCGGTTGACTCTCTGTGGATGTTGCACTCATTCATATGCTTCAGGCAAATGTGCTCATAGATGGTTCGGGGAGTCCACGTCTCACAGATTTTGGTCTTGCGGCGGTCCCAGGGGACGCAGACTTGCAATTGTCCACGATGACTGTGACTAGCCATTTGGATTCTCGATGGCGTGCGCCTGAAGTAATTGGAATCGAGTGCGACCCTGAACGACCAACTTTCGAGAGCGACATCTATTCATTTGGTGGTGTTATGTATTTTGTGCGATTTTTTTCGTTTTCTTGTGTACCTCTCTTAACTCTTTCACCACTCAGATCATCTCGGGGGATGTACCATGGAAAGAGAAGAAGCATTCGCATCAAATTTCGATCGAGCTATCGAAAAGAGTCAAACATACGCGTCCCGACAACATCCTTGACAAGCATTGGAACTTCATGCAACAATGCTGGTCTTGGAACCCGCAGGATCGCCCAGGAGCAGTGCAAGCCGTTGGATGCGTTGCAAGGAAAAATATCTTAATCTTTGGGGAGACGGGGGTAGGCAAAAGCTCACTCGTCAACCTCATGGCGGGAGAGGCAGTAGCACCCACATCCCCTGACGTGGGCCGCTGTACGATGCACTCGCAAGATTATACTGTCGAATTTGGTGGCGAGTCTTATAAGGTGTTCGATACTGTTGGACTCGAGGAACCGCAGCTGGGAATAAAACAGTACCTCTACTCTGTCGAGAATGCCTCCAAGCTCATCCAGAATTTGGATAGACGCGGTGGCATTGATTTGCTTCTGTTCTGTGTTCGCGCAGGCAGACTCACTACTACGGTGAAGAGAAATTACAGACTCTTTCACGAATTCCTCTGCGAGAAGAAGGTTCCCATTGTTGTTGTGATCACGAACCTCGAACGTGAGGAATCGATGGAGGACTGGTGGAAGAGGAACCATGATATTTTCGATCGAGGCAATATTCATGTTGCTGGTCACGCGTGCGTCACTGCCGCTGATAAACAGACACTCAAACACCCACATCTTTATGACGAATCGCGCGTCATAATCCGCAACCTTGTCAAAGAACATGCTGCTGACGGTCAGAAGCAAGTATGGATAGGAGGGGACAGTCGGTTCCGGAGCTTCTTTGGTCGGAATCCGCTTGAGAGCAGGAAGGATCTTATCCCTCGCCTCATGAAGCGTTGCGGAATGTCTCGAGAACTCGCAACATCCTTGGCTGATATGATCAAGAAAGACGAGGTATGACTGCACGACTCTCCTCTTCGACGAATTATGTTCAAATTTGCTTTGTTGTAGTAGGTCCGTGTAATTTATTGGGTGAAATGAGGACCCATTTCCGTGAAAATCATAGGAGGAAGGCGGACCACAGGCAGGAAAACTGCACCTTACTTTACCTTCCCTTGATCGAGTCTAGACGAATTTCACGCAGCACTAAGAATGCTCAAATTATTCGCGCAATCGGGGGCACAAATCAAACAGTAGTACCAACCTTAGTCTATGACCACCACTTCGAGCGGGCAATGTAATGGTCTTCAGGTCACGCATGCGAGCACAATCATCCCTTGACAACCATGATGTGCTGTTCCTCATAATTGAAGGGCAGGACTAGCGTCAACAGTAGCCCCAGGAGGTGCAAGCCCATGACTGGGGCAGATTGGGACTGAGATGGTTGAATTTGCTGTGATATATAGTGCGAAGGTGACGAGCGGGAAGTCTATGTGCGAAGGTCATGTTGCAATTGCCAGTGTGAAAACGATCGAAGATCCATACAAGCCAACGATATCAGAGCAACGATATGAGAACCATGGTTGACTGCCGAAGTCTAGGCATTCAACCGAGTAGTATCAATTAAAAGATCCAAGTCGCAAAGACAACAGATGTTTGAAAAATGTATGTCAGAGAAATGATGGTGTGAGTCGTCGTAGGGGTCGTCAAAAGTAAATGATCATTACAAAGAACGCATGGAAAGGAGAGAGAGGGAATCAACGGGAAGAAAGAACTCACCTAGGCATCTAGATAAAGCTCGGTTCCATGGAAAGAGAGAGTTCGTTGAGGTGGCAGGCAAAGGAAAAGAAGCAGGGCGCTGAACGAGTGCCCTATCCCGTATTTGGTGAGACGCATACTGAGACTGACGTGTTGGTGCAGATGAAATTAGGATGAGTCAATATAGACACGTAGACACGTAAGTTGGTTCGATAAGGTGAGGTGAGGTGGAGAAACGCACCCATTATTACAACGGACATCAACAATTGTGTTCATTCCATGCTTCTATCTCAGAGTTATTCGTTCCTTCCTGGCTCGCACTGAAGAAACGACCCTTCCGTAGGATATCGATAGGTTCCCCTAAGCTACCGTCGAATTGGCTTGTGAACTACGACAGGCGTGTAACGAGTGTCCACGGTCATCGCGAGGGATGGGTCACAAACCTGATTGGACAATGCATGCAGGAAATAAGGGAAGGTCATGTGTACTCGCAGTCACTTCTGATTGAAAGCGCAGGCATAAAATCAATATATAGCAATGGACCGGAAGCAAAATGAACTTACCTGGCATGAGATTCCCCTTGCGCAGCCCTGTCTCTCTCGCACCTGCAATCCTCTCTCGTGAGTATCACGTTAGCTCATCTAGACCTCTGCTAATACTGCGAGGTATGTTATATTTTGCTTGGTGCAGGATACCGGGGACTCGAAGCACGATGATTGAAAACGAACATCGATGTGGGCTCTGAAGCAGAGAATGAATTGGTGCCAGAATTATGTTAAGAGTTGAAGGACGCAGCCTCTGCCCCGAGCCCACGCGCCGGAGCATAGCTCGCCATGCCAATATGACGTGACCCGGGCGAATGATACTTATGAAGAGGACAGTGGTCACATCACAATTTACGAAACATCGAACCAGCCGAAATGGAGGAAGGCTGCATAGCCTGCCAATGGACAATTAGCGCCCCCCTCATGGAATCCATACATATAAAAACTCGCCCGCATTGTTGGCTTGCCACACAGCAAAAGACCAGCGGATAACCTGGTGAGCACTGGTCAACTGTTTTCCCCCCATGATTGATCACGAACCGTGTCAGAGCCAGGTTGATCATCGCCTTACCTTATCGAGCCATGGCTTCTGGATCTTCGACGAAACCAACCCCCGAGAAAGCTTCAACCCCAGCGCAATCAAAAAGACCAACACCGAAGCACAAATTTGAAGGCCATGGGAATGACATTCGCAATTTCGTCTTCTTGCACGACTGCTTCCACATCGTGAGTGGTTCGCTAGACGGCAAAATGCGTAAATGGGACTGCGACAGAGAACTTCTTGCTGGAGAGCTCTGGTAAGGCGAGGGCGGAAGCATAACTACACTGGGGTTATCACCGGACGGCAAGATGGTTGCGTGCGGGAGGGAGATGGAGATGTTCAGTGCTGGGACACAGATGGAAAGATCTTTGGACGGGTCACAGCACGATGACTTGACGAATTACAACTTCGGATAACGGGAAGGTTAAAATTCTATCGACCTCCAATTTGAGTGTTCTTTCAAGGCCTCATGCACTGCAAAAGTAACGAGTCATGAAGGACACGTAAGAGGGTCTATAGCATGGATCGGTACATATTATATTATGAAATTGCCAGCAGCGACCATTAATTACGGATCCATGCATATGCCTCGAGGTGATCATGATACCATCTTCGCTTCTCGGACAACGGTCTGCAGCATGGCTTTACAGGTCGTCTTATAAACTCTAGTCAGCGCCTAGCTATGTAGTAGCGCCATCAACTTGAAAAGACCACATCACAAACTCCACTTCCTGAAACCCGCCTCCCGCAAAGTAGTCCTGCCTCCCTACCCATGACGGAACTCGCGCCTGAAGAGTGAGTCTTCTCCCATCAATAATCAAAGCCTCTTGACCCCCGCAGTGACTTTACGTCTCAAATTTCCGGGACGTTAGATCTCGGATATCCATATACATCTGGAGCCTTTGGCGTGGTTTATCGGCGAACCATCGAGTCTAGTGAAGGCACAGTAGAGGTTTGTCTGGTCAACGTGCCCGAGTTCGTCCACCCAATTTATCCTTCAGGTCGCAGTGAAAGTCTTCAAGATCGATCCTGGAAGAGAAATGGAGAAAATTGAAAAGGTCAATCTTCTAATTAACTGGAGGGTGATGATCGAGTCGCCCTTCGCTTAACATGATCTATGTAGGGAATACGTCGAGAAATCAAGGTGTGGCTTAGACTGAAACACCCGACTATCGTTCCGCTACTTGGCACCGCAAGGGTCGATTCTCCGTTTCCGGCTCTCGTTTCCAAATGGATGCCATCTGGGACACTGGATGTCTACCTCAAGGAAGCTGCAACCCTTACCGCTTCCTCTAAAGTTGAATTGGTGAGTCCCTTGCTCACACCGATCACATTCAACAAGCATTCATTGATGTTTATGCAACTAGGCCAACGGTGTTGCTGAAGGCCTCGACTACCGTTGGTCCATTCCAATCCAGTCCTTATTCCTGTTTTTGATGCATATCCAGTTCACTCGGAGAAAGTCGTTCATGGAGACCTTCATCCCGTATGTATGGTCGTCTCTTTTTGGATGTCGTACTCATTCATAAGCCTCAGGCTAATATCCTCATCGATGACTCAGGAAATCCACGTCTCACAGATTTTGGTCTCGCAACAGTCGCAGGGGACGCAGACTTGCAGTTGTCCACGATGACCGCTACCCGCAATTTGGATTCTCGATGGCGTGCGCCTGAAGTGATCGGAATTGAGCGTGACCCTGAAAGGCCTACTTTCAAGAGTGATGTCTATTCATTTGGTAGTGTGATGTTCTTTGTGCGACCTATCTGTTTCCTGCAGCTCTACTCTAACCTTTCTCCTCTCAGATCTTCTCGGGGGATGTACCATGGAAAGAGAAGAAGCATTCGCATCAAATTTCGATTGAGCTATCAAAAGGAGCCATACATGCACGTCCCGACAACATCCCTGACGATCACTGGAGCTTGATTCAAAAATGCTGGTCTCGGGACCCGGGGGGTCGCCCAAGGGCAGTGGAAGTTATTAGACGCACGAACATCGTGATCTTCGGAGAGACAGGGGCGGGCAAAAAGCTCCGTCTAAACCTCATGGCCGGCCGAGACATTGCGCACATATCGCCCGACTCTCACCGCTGCACTCTGCATTGGTCGGAGTACACGATAACCTTCGAAAGTGGGGCTCGATACCAGGTGTTTGACACGGCCAGCCTCGAGGGGCCCCGTCTACAAACCAGGGAGCACTTCTTCGCAATCACAAACACATATGGCCTCATCAACACCTTGAAAGAGCGTGGAGGTATCAACCTCTTGCTCTTCTGTATACGCGGAGGCAGAGTCACGGCAACCATGCAGAGCAACTACAGGTTGTTCTTCGAATTTTTCTGCGAAGAAAAGGTCCCGCTTGCGCTCGTCGTCACAAACCTCGAAAGAGAGACGAACCTGGAAGACTGGTACACGCGGAATATGGGCCACTTGGAGAAGCATGGCATCCGGTCCGTAGGACACGCATGCATTACTGCGGGCGAATCTTCTCGACGAGAGGCATAAACACAAGTATGAGGAATCGCGAGAAACACTCCGTAGTGTTGTTCAGGCTCATTGCCACGCATCAATGGAAGGGTGGACCGAAGGCCAAGGATGGCTTGCTTCGCCCGGTAGCAAGCTCGTGGAGTTCGTCGCTTGGACGTCCCAAGAAGACAGATATCATTGGGATCCTCACAAAACGATGTGGAATGACCAAGAAAGTCGCTCAGCAGGTGGCGCAGCAGATCAATAGAGGCGAAAATCAATCCTAGTATAATCTTTCCACTGCTGCTATCATGTTCATAGACTCTTCCCTCACACGTACATACGTTACCACCTAGGCTACAACAACCACCTGAGCTGACGAAGTTAGCGCGTTCATTGAATCGTTCAACGATGGGGAGCCTTGACAATGTTGTGAATGAAGAATGGTATAATGTCTTCCAAGTGGACACAACCAGCTACTTCGATCCGAAGTCACTGGTAACGACTCACGAGAGTCGTACCACGCATCCCGCCGAGGACAGTAGCATCATGTCAACCAACCTCCGCAATAATCACCTTGTTTGCTTCTCATCGTGCACCACTCATGTGCTGTACAACACGGCTGAGCTAATTGAGGGCACTTCTCAAGATGACTACCGGTTGACTTGCTTTTACAGCGAGCTGATGGATTATTCTTCCACCCGCTTCCCGGGAGCCATTCTATACGCCTTGTACTGTATTGGAGATACCTAGAGGAGGTGATGAGCTTGATTAAGCCGCATGGTACATGGAAAACACTGGCAGAATTGCCGATCAGGTAGGTTTCTAGCTGGTCTGTCTGTCTCAGTTATATAAATCAAGACTTCTAGCCATACCCAATATGATTTATCTCACGATTGATTTGTGGAGATCGCGAATGTACATGTATCGAGGGTGATGTTAAGTGTGAGGTGTCGTTCGTTGCATGTTCTAGGTATACCTTGAATTTATTTGGCGGATGCCAGCGCCGCATCAACAATTTCGGTCATTTTTATAACCGCCTCTTCCTCCAGAGTCCGACCGACAGTTGCAAGCAGACGGGTGTGTTTTTGAATCTCTCCGGGTCGTCTGAATCAATCATCGGCCCATTAAATAATCACTGAATGCTGGTAGACTACTCACACATTTCGTAAACGCCCTTATCAAAGTCGTCATAAAAAGCGTGACGAGGCTTCTTCGCATCGAGAATGGGGTCGACAGTGGTTACTGGGAAAGTCGCAGCGGGATAGTCGAGCGCGTTCCAAACAGCGGTGTAGTTAGTGTACCTGAGCATTGTGTCTCATTGATAATTCCAAATTCCGAATATGTAAAGACACTGACCTATTTTTCCCATGGGGTTTGCCGTGTACGACGAGGCTGGACAGATGATCGCGTCGACAGGCCGTCCTGTACCAGTCTCCGACGCAGTTTCTTCCCAGTGGTCAAGATATTCTTTCCGAAGATCTTTGCGCAGTTTCTGCACTTGCCAGAGCTGGTATGCGGTGATACCCATCTTCGGCGGACGGAAGGGTGCTGCCGCAGCATCTGAGTTGTCCAGGTCCATTGTTGCAATTATTGGTTCGCCTGTAACAGAGGTCGTGATCATGCAATCCTCGGCAGAACCAGCGTTCCGGATGTTCCGCTGCACGGAGCTGCTAGGTCAATAGGCACCATAGTTAGAGTCATAATTCCTTGCCGTGGTATCTGTAAGCAACTTGTGCTTGATGGGCTTCCAGTCAACAACTACCACTAAATGAGCATAATTCGACAGAGTGACTTAGACGGTCAAACCTTTGTAGCCCGCCTTCTCGAGAGCCGCTTTGGTGACTTCTAGAGACCTCCTGATAGGCGGGTGAGGCACGACAACGCCATCATCCCACATGATCGCAAAACATAAATCCTTGCCAGATCCATGGTCTGCGAGATTGTACTCGTCTTCGTCCCATTTCTTCCGAACCGCAAGAGGGTCTTTGAGCCATGGTTTAGCGTTGACAACAGCTTTCATGAAGGCTTTGACGCCGCCGATGCTGTTCGCCATAGGACCGAATACGGAGAGAACCGAATCTTGACCCTCAAGTGAGTTGAGGGCGCCACAGTACGGTACACGCCCGTACGACGGTCTCAGGCTGTACAAGCCGCAGAATGCAGATGGAATACGAATAGAACTGTTGAGAGGGCGTCAGAAGGTTACTACCAGTGGTACTTCCAAATCCATTCCATACCCCCCGAGATCAGAACCCACCCCCAAAGGGCTTCCCTTGAGGGCAACTAACGCGCCCTCTCCTCCAGATGACCCACCCGGGGTCAGAGAGCGGTTGTATGGGTTAGTCGTCCGGCCGAAGATATTATTGAAGGTTTCTGGCCACTGACGATACTTTTAGCCTCCTGAGTAGCAACTTGAATCGTATCGAGTGTTCGCTCACCATGACTGTCTGCGGAAGGTTTGTGCGGACGAATGGCACAGCTCCACATTCGATCAGAATGTCGACCAGCACCGCGTTTTTCTCTGCGTACCGCCCAATCCACGAGATATAACCTAGGACCAGCGATTCATAATGCGTCGGGCCCGGGTTATCATTGATCATTGCTTACCCATAGTGGTTTCTATTCCCTTGATACATAGTTGGTCCTTGAGAGAGATTGGCAGCCCATGGAGGGGACCAACAACCTTCCCTGTCTGTTTAAAGTGATCATCGAGTTCAGCCGCTCGGGCTAATGCACGATCAACAAAAATTTCCGTCAAGCAATTGACCTCATTGGCCGGTTAATGCAACATCGTGAATGTTAACGCAGATTAACTCACGAGCTGGTGGGCAACAATGGCCCTCTTGTAGAACGCGGTGGTCACGTCTACAGCTGTCCATTCGCCACACGAAAGTTTGTCCAACAAAGCATCCACCGAAGTATTAGTAATCTCGATTTCTCGTGCATTTAGAAGGCCGCACGCATCCGGGAATCCGGTCACGTCTAGAGTAGAGTCTGGAGGCGGAGACACAAGCCAGTCTTGTGGAATGGACTTCAGCTGCCTCTGCTGCTTCTCTGCGACAAGTGCAGTCCAATGTGTCATGTCGTGGCTCGTTGAAGATGGAATTGGACGAGGGCGAAAAGGTATTGAGGCCTAACACTTTTCACAAGAGATAAGACGGATAGAAGGCTCTCCGTAACTGATATTAATAATGAGATAAGAGTCTCAAAATATTATAGGAAGCCACTCCATGAGATACCCTTCCTTCGTGAAGCTAAGGATATGGCGGTTCAGGGCGAGAGGCCGGTTCAGTGTTCACTGGCAAAGAATCATCCTCAGAAGCTATTTCCGTATCCCATGCAGATCGTGACTACTTACCGTTGTACAGGCGAGCTAGCTAGCCTAAGCTAATGACTTCATCTTGACTGGCGGCGAATTTCACTGTGCCCCTTATGATGATAGCAGAGATCGTCACACCAAAGATGGAGCCTCAGGATGCATATAACATGAAAATGATCAAGCTGCAAACGGCATGGTGCTTGACAAGTTAACATCACTCAGTAGCCTCCAAGGCTCTGAAAGCAAAACACGCGCAGCCTTGGACAGATTGCTCGGAAGCTGCGGCTCAAGTCATGGGCATGTAGCCAGTCATAGCTTCAAGAGAAAATTGCAATTTAGCCAACGATAGCGCGAGCTGTGCTCGACTTGCAATCACGTTATGCTACCTCGACAAGTGGAAGGGTCGAATATCCGAAATATTAAGACTCCTCGGGATAATTGACTGCAAGTTCAAAATGTCAGTTCGTACACACAAAACTAACTGTAACACTCACAAACAGAGCAAATGATTAAAGTAAAAAATTTCAACATAGAGAAGTCATCTGCACAGCTAGGAATGTCGCTGGCGATATTGTCATAAACAAAGGCACTTAGGGCATATATTAACATGCAACCCAGTAGTCGAGCGCATGTGAGCACGGGCGGTCCGAGTATGCGAGCCTAGACATCGGTTATACGCACCATGAAACACGGAGTTGGAGTTAGGGA